TGCATGTAGGTGAGGAATGAATCCTGTGTGACTCCCAGTGACAGGGTCACTGAACTTGCAGGTAAGTGTGGTGACCAAGACCTGGTGGTTTGGAAGGAAGAGTGCATAAGATCTGTTTGGGTCAGACTGATTCACCAGCCCACATGGGAGTCCTGAGATGGGCTGTTAGCATACAACATTGCTGACTGCCACATGTCAGCCCACATGAAAGCCATGGCTAGGGGCCTGACTGGCAGGGTTAGATCATTGTACCTGACTGAGTGTTGGAACAGGGGATGGATCACATTAGGCAGGGTCATAATACTAATCAGCATGTGAGAGAACCAGGCCCAGGGGTAGATTCTCAGCAGTATAAGTGGACTCAACCCTGTGGAAATACAAATCCTGCTGGTTAGCTTATAAGTTGGGGCGGTGACAGGCTGAATAGGTGTGACCATGGAATCTGTCAAAACTCACAGTTACAGGGACCAGGACCCACATGTGCATCCTCAGACAGGGTGTGAGAAAGGCTGGGCTGCAACATCTTCCAGCTCATACAAAGGCCAAGATGGCGTTTGCTCAGCTAAGGTTTCCTCAGCCCTGCCAGGTCTGCCCCATCAATAACCAACCCACACATTAGCCAACAATTGGAGTTACCCTGCTCAGGCTGCCCAACATCCAGGCCTGGAACACGTGCTCACCAGTGGAAACTATAACCCCTAATGTGTGGGTTGGTTATTGATGGGGCAGACCTGGCAGGGCTGAGCAAACCTTAGCTCACCAGCAAAAACATAAATCAGGCTGGAGCACAAGTCATGCCAAGCTAGGCTCTTACATCTGTTGGTTTGTATGAACCTGGGATGGGAGTAGATTGAGCAGGGACAGGTTCCATCACCCACCATTGAGAATCAGGATGTAGGTTAGCCTGGAAGGGCCACGCTACAGTATCTAAGGCAAAGGCGAACACAGGTGATGGGCTATGCCAAGCTAGGTAAGAGTAACCACTGATACATGCAAAATCTATGGCTGGCAACAGGCTTTGTTCAGCAACCAAAGGAATACCCTGGCTGGGTTGGGGTTCCCAAGGGTGAGTGCAGGGACCAGGGTGGGCCAGCTGGGCATTCTGGTCTGGACATGGTTGCAGTCTTCCTTGGCACAAGTGTGGACTGGCCCAGGGTGCACTGGATTGGGCTAGACTCTAGCACCATCTAGTGCTCTGGAGGACCAGGGTAGGTGTAGGATGGACTAGGCAAGGTCTCTGACCCTACTGAGCCATGTGTGAGCTGTGTCTGGGTGTGCACTAGGCTTGGCTGAGCTCTAACACCCAACAGTAAGTACCAGGATGGATTGAAGGCCCATCAGGAAAGGCCACTGTTCCTGCCAGGACAGAAGGTGGACTAAGTAAGGCTGGCTCATGGAACCAGGTTTGTGTGAAATCTGGCATTGGGAGAGGTTCTGATGGAGGAACCTGAGCAACTCCTCTGTTGGGACATAGTCACTGCAGGTGAATGCAAGAACCACGACGACAGGGAGCAGCTCAGACCAGGCCAGGTCACAGTACTCACCAGCATACATTTGGTACAGCTTGGGGGAGGACCAGGCTAAACCAGGTCACATTACCTGCTGGCGAATCCAAGCACCAAAATAGAGTGTGAGTCAGACCGGGATCAGTTGCAACACATACCGGTACACATAGGGTCTGGGACTGGGGTCCTGCTGGGCTGAGCTAGGCTGTAACCCCCACAAGGGTCAGCTGGAATTGGGGGTGGGCCAGGCTACAGCACCTACTGACAAAGGCCGAGGCGAGGTGGGCCATGTGAGACTGGGCCGCAGCACCCAACATGCATGCGTGAGTTCCAGTGTGGGAGGGGACAAAGCTGGTACAGGGAAAGTGGAGAGCTCCCCTGCTGGATCACCACTCCCACTGGAGAGCGTGAGCTGGGATGGGGGCAGACCAGACCAGGCAGGGCTGTAATACCTGTTGTCCTCATGTGAGCTGGGTCAGGGAAAAGCCTGGCTGGGCTGATTGTTCCTACTGGTGCAAGCATAAATCAGAGTGAATGAGGGTTGGTTGGGTTTTGCTGTAGCATCAGCCGGCAGATGCTGGCACTGTGGGCTAATTCTGTCAAGTCAAACTGCAGAACCACCTGGAGAGTGCAAGATCCAGGAGTGGGAGTGGCCTAGGAAGGAAATCATGGGCACCTCCCTCTTGGGTTACCACTCCCACTGGAGAGCATGAAAACCAGGACAGGGGCAGGGGTGGCCAGACAGGTCAGCACCCACCAGCATGTGTGTGGGCTGGTAGTGGGGCTGGTTGGGTTGAACCAGGCTTCGATGCTCGTTGGCATGTATGACAGCTGAATGGGATGTAGGACAGACTGGACCAGTCTACTGTATATACTGGCAAGCAGGGGAACAGGGCAGGATATGGAACTGGTTGGGTTATGGTGGGTCACTCCAACTAGGCTGCAGCTCCCACTGGTATGCGTGAGGGTCGAGTATGAAGTGGGCAGATTCAGGCTGGACAGCAACACCCATTGGTTCGTGTGGCAGGCAGGGCTGGAGATAGAACTGACCCAGTAATTGCAACCACCAGCATATGCATAGAGTGACTGGGGCAATGATCTAGGTCGTAGCAAACTATCAGGTCAGAATCAGGTCTGGGATCACCTCAGATGAAGTTTTTTTTGGGATCCCTCCAACTGAACTACTGGTCTCAAAACCCTAACTATGAAGAGAACTACAGGTTCCATAGTCCAACCGTGGAGTGCATGTGTCAAAGCTCAACCTCCTCAGTGGCTCAGAAAGAGCAGTCCACAGCATGTCCAGGTGCATATGGACGATATGATAATATATTGGAACATGCAGAGGACATCTGGTATCACAACAAAGGACAGAACAAATTGATCAACTACTCCAGTTATGTGTTGGCAGTAAAAATCTGGGCAAGTGGGGACACTAAAGTGGACTATGTCCCCAGTGGGTTCTGAAGAGATTTCATTGTGCTTGAAATGGCAAAATTGGGAGCAATTCAGAACAGTTGAATTATCAAAGCCACTTGAGCAGGACCCTCGGAGCATACCCCATATCGGGGACCTTGGATAGGTGGGAGGCTTGGTGGGGCTTCTCTATTTAACTCCTCCCTTACGCTAAATACAGAAAAAAATGATAATGTGAAAACTATGGTCTTACCCACTTTCCTGTAACCCTTAATCCTTGGTGACCTAATCAACAAGGTAAAGATCATCAAAATTTTAAAATATGTTAAAAAAAATTTCTTAAGGATTTATTTGTTTTTATTGCAAAGTAAGATATACAGACAGGAAGAGAGAGTGACCGCAACTGCTGGTGCTGCGCTGATCCAAAGCCAGGAGCCAGGAACTTCTCCCAGGTATCCCAGAAGACTACAGGGTCCCAAGGCTTTGGGCTGTGCTCAACTGCTTTCCCAGGCCAGAAGCAAGTACCTGGATAGGAAGTGAGCTGCTGGGATTAGAACTGGCACCCATATGGGATCCTGGCACATTCAAGGCAAGCGCTTTAGCCAGTAGGCCACCGTGCCAGGCCCAAAAAAAATAATATTGATTACTACACCAGCATACCAGCTTCCAGCTTATATTTTTAGTACCTTCTTGATCTAATATCAGTACTGTACAACATTTTATACATATTCAAAGTTTTATAATTTGTTAGCATATAGTTGTTCTTAAGAGGTTCTTAGAATCCTTTGTATTTTTTTCACTTTTTTTGTTATTATCATTTTATGATACAGTTCCACAGGCCCTGGGATTTCCTTTGTCCCTTCTCCAATTCCATCCCCCCTCACTGAGTTCCTCTATATCATTACTAATGTATAGTTCTTCATACACAGTCATATGTGCATCATTTCGGGCATGGACAATGGCAGAGTCCACCATCCTATTGTCAAGTGTAGTAAACAGTTTCTTTGGGAGTCCATCTTTGTCTGTAAATAGAGATGCATACTGCATTCTATCCTCACATCTGGATATGGTAGTCATCATTACATAGTTGTTATACAAAATGAAAAACCACGATACAAAATCCTTTGTTTTTTTTTTTTTTAGGATTTTTTTAATGTTTATTTGAAAGTCAGTTATGGAGACACAGAGAGAGATCCACTAGTTCACTTCCCAAATGGCTGCAATGTCTAGAACTGGCTTGAATCTGAGAGCCAATAACTTATCCTGGATATCTCACATGGGTGCACAGTCCCAAGCACTTGTTATGGCTTTTTTTTTTTTTCAAATCTGTTTGGAGCTGGATCAGAAGTGTAGCAGCCAGGATTCAAACAGGTTCCCCTGTTGGATGATGGTACCACAGGCACAGGTGGGTGGCACAGGCATGTGCTCATGGTAGCAAGGGGAGTCCCTTTCTGTGGCTCAGCATGGGTGTGGAGAAGGGAGCAGCTCATCTGTCTGCACACTGCAGGAAGGCCCATCCTCAGTGCCCAGCCCTGTGCACCATGATGATGCAGGCCCTGGCCCCGCCAGAATGCGTAGGCCACTGACAGAGCAGTGCCTGTCCATGGGGTCACCTTGACTGACAGCACTGACTGCAGCCTAGTGAGGCTGATGAGGCAGTCAGGGAGTGGAGGGGGGAACAGGGACCTGAGTGTGGGAATGCCAGGGCTGGATTGCCTAGACAAGAGGTGGACTCTGATCAGAGATCCCAGAACACAGGGTGAGTGTTTCAGTCCCCAGGCTCCTGGCAGGCATGTGCAGGAACAAAGGTGCCAGCATTCCCTAAGGGAGGGGACCCCTGGGATTCTCCTAGCTAACTTCCTGGTGATGAAAAAGACAGATAAGGCAGATGGATGTGGGCTCCCTGCTCTGAGTTAGCTCAGCTTCTTGACCCTGGGATTGATGATTAACAGTTAGAAGCCAGCCAATGAGGGGGCTGCCCAGCAGAGGTGGGGCAGGTCCAGCACAGTCTCTCCTGGGTGTCAGTCACAGGCCAGGACTCTGAGGCCAGGCTGCAGAGGCTCAGCTCTGAGGGAACAGGTGAGGTGACTGGGGACAGGATGGGGCTTAGGGTGAGGCCCTAGGGTCCTATGTGTGGTGCTTGGGACAAGGGTCTGCAACGCCTGGGCCATGGTGGGGGACCAAAGGGCAGGGGACACCGTGGTGTCACTGTGATGAAGAGAAAGAAGTAAGAGCTGAGGAAGGCCCAGGGCTTTGTGCTCAAGCTGGCGGCAGGTGTGTGTTTGAGATTGTCACAGTAACTGTGGGCAGCAGATATTACAATCCCCTGCACTGCTAAGGAAGACCCACTCACCAACAAAGGTTGGGTGATGCTTGCAGCAGTATTGGTAGGACGGAAGTCTGTTTCAGCCCTGGTAGAAGACATATCTGCAACCTCTCTGGCTGAGACAAGGTTGCAGCCTTGAACAGGGACTCTGGGTAAGTTAGGCTTGCTGCACGGGTTCTCATGTGAGGCTTTCTGTCTTCTCCAGCGCAGCAGCAGCGTGCAGGGACTCTTCAGCTATCTCTGTGGACTTTGAGATTCACTGTCACCCTCCATGGCTCCTTACCACATCCGCAAATACCACGTCGGAGACCACAAGCAGGTGCTGGCCCTGTTTGCCCAGGGCATGGAGGAGCACATCCCTGCAACATTCTACCGCCTGTTGAAGCTACCCCGAGCCCTCCTGCTCTTGGCTGGAGTGCCCCTCATGCTCCTCCTGGTCTTTGGCTCCTGGCTCCTGGCCCTGTTAGCAAGCCTCACCTTCCTTGTGGTCCTTAGGTTTGCTACGGCATATCCCTTTAAATTATATATTGCCATGAGTTTGCAGACAGACATGGCTGACATTGTGAAAACCTACCTGAGTGGCAGAGGCTCCTGCTTCTGGGTGGCTGAGTCTGAGGGGCAGGTGGTGGGCACAGTGGGAGCTCTGCCCGTGGAGGAGCCCACCTTGCGGGAGAAGCAGCTGCAGCTCTTTCACCTGTCTGTGGGCATGGAACACCGGGGTCAGGGCATAGCAAAGTCCCTGGTCAGGACAGTCATCCAGTTTGCCCGGGACCAGGGCTACAGTGAGGTAGTCCTGGAGACCAGTGTAGTGCAGTCAGCTGCCCTGAGCCTCTACCAGGCCATGGGCTTCCAGGTTGTACGCCATTCTTACTTCCACATAAGTGCAAAGCTAATAGAGCTTACTATCATTCACTTAGTCTTGACACTGTCTTCAGCTCAAGGAATGGGGCTCTGACCTATGTCCTGTGTGTGTGTCTGGAGAGGATCCACTCGGCCTGGCCACCACTAACCCTAGCACTATAGAGCTGTCAACAATAAAAGCTCTTGTGGGACCCAGTATCATAGCCTCCTGGGTAAAGTCCTTGCCTTGCTTGCGCCGGCATCCTGTTTAGGTCATAGTTCGTATCCTGGCTGCTTGACTTGCCTTCCAGCTTTCTACTTGTGGCGTGGGAGAGCAGTGGAGGATGGCCCAAAACCTTGGAAGTTGCAGACCTCTGTGCTAGAACCAGAGGATACTACTGGCTCTTACTTTGGATTGGGAATAAACCTGCAGACAGAAGATGTTTTGTCTGTATCTCCTATCTCTATATATCTGCCTTTCAAATAAATATAAATAAATCTTTAAAAGAAAAAGAACTATTTTCTTGCTGCGTGTCCGAAACCCACCTGTCTGATGTTGGGAGCTCTAGGGGCTGTGCTTTGCTCTGTCTGATTGGACGCCTCTGTTTTCACTTCCCCACTTGCAGCCACAATCCATGAGAAACCAGCTGCCCAGCTATCCCTGTGCAGGCTTCAATCTGTGAATGTGTAGAGAGCAGTTGGAGCGGAACAGGCTGGGCATAGGTCCACTTCCCTTGACCTTTGAAACCCAGGAAGGCTAAAAGCTGTTGCAGTGCTGTCTCAGCTTCACATGGCCAACACTGGGCTGCCCTAAGCTTAGCACTGACCCTGGTTGTAGCATTCTGCCTGGCAGGTGTCCTAGTCTTGCTCTGCGCCGCCCTCTACTGGCTTAAGTGCCTAGATGTGCAAGGAAGGGTCTGGCTCAATCTCTGGAATCCAGTCCTCGCAGCTGCACCAGGTGGGGGTAATGTCAACAAGCTTGAGTTCCCAGGGTAGGGCTCCAACTTCCTGAGCACGCCCAGGTTACCTGGCAGGTTGCCAGGTTGGCACCTGGCAGGTGATCTGTGGAATCACCAAGTTGTCTATGAGACCACATCATCTCCAGTGCTGCTGTCCCAGCTCTTTTGGCCCTGGCTTTGGATCCCAAGCATCTCTTCCTGGAAGCTCTGGCTCTTAGCCCAGCCATATGTTCTGGGGTGACCTGGGTTGCTTTTGGGCTGGGGGCAGGAATTCTACCAGGTCTGTTCTAGGAAAGGCAGAGCTCAAATCCTGGGAATTCCTCTTCTCAGTTGCTGGGTTCCAGCAGGGTGTGCATGCATGGGAGGGAGAGGAAGGGTTTCCAGTGGGTCAGCTTTGAAGGAACCGGAGCTAACTGTGAGTCTTCACCTACCCGGGAAGACCGGTCTAGAGGAAGAAGAGAGTCCCGATAGACATAGTAGCAGAATGAGACATGCATCATGGGTGATCCGTGACTGATGCCAACAGATCCCAGGTCAGCTTCCGGGCAAATGCAGGCCTCATTAGGTCATTTAGTGATTGATAGTGTACTCTACCAGGGATTTTCTAACCTGAAAGATGTTCTCGAAATAGACTTGCTTGTTGGCTGTGCTGTAGTGTGTGCCTGCAGTGCTGCCATCCCATGTGGGCACTGGTACCAGCCCCATCTGGCCACTTTTTGTGTTTTACTTTTTAAAAATATTGAATGCAAGATTGAGAGGGATGAACACCCATGTGGGACTCTGATTAGGGTGAAGAGGATCAGTTGAGAGAAATGCACACCCGGGTGGGACTCTGATTAGGATGGAGAGGGTTAGGTATGGAAGAAGGTGGGTGAGTAGGACAAATATTTCCCTTTTTTCCCTTTGTGTCCAAATGGGAGAAGGGAAAGAGCCACTCCTTGTTGTTGAAATGCATCAGCACCTGGGGATAGGGGACAGTCATCTGGGGGTGCCTTAGAGACTCCATTGTAGCAGGGGAGGAGTGTTTGAATAGTTGAGTGGTTTTCACAGTTCTGAGTCATAGGCTTCATTGCACCAGGATTGAGAAAATCTTTCAGAGGTCTATGGGCTGACCAAGTTCACCTCAGTGTGTATCTACACATCCAGGAACATGTTGTAAAGTTTGGCCTGGAGAGTGGTCCACCTGTTCTGCTTTACTTCCTTCCTCTGATGAGACGCTCAACATCACCTGCTGTCCTAGATGAACCAGTCATCATGTCAACTATTTACATTTGAACATATTGTCCACCGCACAGGCATCAACAACTGAGGAGGCACAGTCCTGATACCTTCACTCCATGATTGGACCAGACATCCTGTGATTTTTTTTTAAAGATTTATTTATTGGAAAGTGAGATATACAGAGAGGAGGAAAGAGAGAGAGGAAGATCTTCCATCTAATGATTCACTCCCCAAATAAGCACAACGGCCGATGCTATGCCGATCCAAAGCCAGGATCCAGGAACTTCTTCCAGGTATCCCACATGGGTGCAGGGTCCCAAAGCTTGGGCCGTCCTCCACTGCTTTCCCAGGCCACAAGCAGGGAGCAGGATGTGAAGTGGAGCTGCTGGGATTAGAACCGGTTCCCATATGTAATCCCGGTGCGTTCAAGGCAAGGACTTTAGCCGCTAGGCCATGCCGCCAGGCCCAATCCTGTGATTTTCCATGTTCAGCTGGCCATTTCTTTTTTTTTTTTTAATTCATTTATTGTGGTAATCTTTATATACTTGATTAGGGCACAAAAGGTCAAGAAGTATTGGGAAGTGGATAAGATCATTGTTTCCACATTAATATTATTTTTTTCTGTATCCAGGGTAAGGGAAGAGATAAAAACAAAAACCCTACCAGACCTCCTACCCATCCGAGGTCCCCTACATGGGTCATGCTCTGAGGGTCCTAAACAAGTGGTTTTGATAGTTCAACAGTTCTGAATTGCTGCCAATCTCACTATTCCAAGCATGATGATATCTCTTCAGAATCCACTGGCTGACATAGTCTCTTCATGTTTGGAGTTCTGAATCCAATAATTCAGTTGGAGGGATCCCAAAGAAAAACTTCATCTGAGGTGATCCCAGACCTGATTCTTGTGCGTGCTTGCCAGCACAGGTTCTGGCACAGACCATCGCCCCAGTCACTCTATGCATATGCTGGTGGTTGCAATTGCTGGGTCAGTTCTATCTCCAGCCCTGCCTGCCACACGAACCAATGGGTGTTGCTGTCCAGCCTGAATCTGCCCACTTCATACTCGACCCTCACGCATACCAGTGGGAGCTGCAGCCTAGTTGGAGTGACCCATCATAACCCAACCAGCTCCATACCCTGCCCTGTTCCCCTGCTTGCCAGTATATACAGTAGACTGGTCCAGTCTGTCCTACATCCCATTCAGCTGTCATACATGCCAACGAGCATCGAAGCCTGGTTCAACCCAACCAGCCCCACTACCAGCCCACACACATGCTGGTGGGTGCTGTCCTGTCCGGCCACCCCTGCCCCTGTCCTGGTTTTCATGCTCTCCAGTGGGAGTGGTAACCCAAGAGAGAGGTGCCCATGATTTCCTTCCTAGGCCACTCCCACTCCTGCATCTTGCACTCTCCAGGTAGTTCTGCAGTTTGACTTGACAGAATTAGCCCACAGTGCCAGCATCTGCCGGCTGATGCTACAGCAAAACCCAACCAACCCTCATTCACTCTGATTTATGCTTGCACCAGTAGGAACAATCAGCCCAGCCAGGCTTTTCCCTGACCCAGCTCACATGAGGACAACAGGTATTACAGCCCTGCCTGGTCTGGTCTGCCCCCATCCCAGCTCACGCTCTCCAGTGGGAGTGGTGATCCAGCAGGGGAGCTCTCCACTTTCCCTGTACCAGCTTTGTCCCCTCCCACACTGGAACTCACGCATGCATGTTGGGTGCTGCGGCCCAGTCTCACATGGCCCACCTCGCCTCGGCCTTTGTCAGTAGGTGCTGTAGCCTGGCCCACCCCCAATTCCAGCTGACCCTTGTGGGGGTTACAGCCTAGCTCAGCCCAGCAGGACCCCAGTCCCAGACCCTATGTGTACTGGTATGTGTTGCAACTGATCCCGGTCTGACTCACACTCTATTTTGGTGCTTGGATTCGCCAGCAGGTAATGTGACCTGGTTTAGCCTGGTCCTCCCCCAAGCTGTACCAAATGTATGCTGGTGAGTACTGTGACCTGGCCTGGTCTGAGCTGCTCCCTGTCGTCGTGGTTCTTGCATTCACCTGCAGTGACTATGTCCCAACAGAGGAGTTGCTCAGGTTCCTCCATCAGAACCTCTCCCAATGCCAGATTTCACACAAACCTGGTTCCATGAGCCAGCCTTACTTAATCCACCTTCTGTCCTGGCAGGAACAGTGGCCTTTCCTGATGGGCCTTCAATCCATCCTGGTACTTACTGTTGGGTGTTAGAGCTCAGCCAAGCCTAGTGCACACCCAGACACAGCTCACACATGGCTCAGTAGGGTCAGAGACCTTGCCTAGTCCATCCTACACCTACTCTGGTCCTCCAGAGCACTAGATGGTGCTAGAGTCTAGCCCAATCCAGTGTACTCTGGGCCAGTCCACACTTGTGCCAAGGAAGACTGCAACCATGTCCAGACCAGAATGCCCAGCTGGCCATTTCTCATCAGGTTCCCCAATAATGCACCTGGAAAAGCAGCATAAAACGTACCATGAGGGTACCAGGTAGAGGGTCCTGGCTTCTGGCTTTGAATTGTTGAGCTCCAGTTATAAACATTTAGGGTTGAATCAGCAAATGGAAGAATTTCCTCTCTCCCTCTGTAACTCTACCTTCTAAATAAATAAATCAATCTTTGAAAAAAAAGAGAAAATTAATAGTCTAGACTGAGAGTTCACAACCTGCTCAGGTCAAAGCTATTTGTCAATGTCTATGGTGTAAGAATTTACAGCTGCCCTCAGCCAAAGCAGCAACTTCAATCCAGCAGTGACATTGTGCTGGAATGATTTGGCCTCAGCTTCCTTGTATTGGTAACCATGCAGTTCAAATTCAAGAGGGTCTGCTGAAGCACCACTGCTGTACCAGAAGGTCTCCCTCAGGCCTTGCCACAGGCCTTTTGTATGCCCTCTGCCCCAATACTGTTCACAGG